GTCTGTCCGTATTTTGTAAGGGATGCCATCTCTCACAAATGCCAACGTTCCACCACCAGATCTTCCATTCCGATCATTTCTGGAAAACGTATAGCCAGGAATAGAGATTTCACCATCAGTTATATCAGAGTTTAGCCAGGTTTCAGAGATCGTAAAAATATCAAAAGGTTTTTCATTAAGTAGAAGCTTTAATGAATCTATTTTATTGTAGATACTTCTGATATTGAGGTGTGCAACTTTAAGACCCCGAGATTGAAGAAAACCACTTGCTTGATGACTATTAGTAATCGACGCAGGTCCAGGGTTAGATTCTACGTCACCAGATATAGAAATAACTAGAACTGCAAGAATTGCGTATAGCAGTAAACGGCACCCAGAGAAAACCTTTGATGAATTCGGCAATGATCTTCGTATTTCCCTTTTTCGTCGACAACCGTATTTAACTAGACTCATGATATGGGTTGTTGCGATTTCCTTGCATATGTAGAAAATAGCATGTTGTTGTACAAAGTTAGAACAATTCTTTGGGACATAACAATTCTTTGGGACATAAAGACCACATAAGGTAATATAGATATAGAGAAATAACCAGAGGTAAAAGTTTCTACAGCAAAACTTCATCAAATCTATCAACATCATGATGGAGAAAGTACGATTAAAATGTTCTGTTGATTAAATTATTTAGCAGACAGCGGTCGATAGGTGCGATGGACACTTGAGGGAATTTGTAATTAATACGGAAAATACTTGAGATTATATTTCGCTGCAATGTCAGGGAAAACCACGCCAATGAAAGAAAAATGAATCAATAGTATAGACTAGCCGATAGATAGCAAACAGTTTAACATCAGCAGAGTTGATTAACTTGTAAGCCACCACAATCAAATAAAGTCCTTGAATTGTTTACTGTTCCAGAACTTGAAATAATAAAAGTTATAAAGCCACGAAGTCACACGCAAAATTCAAATTTACTGTTGCTACGAAACGTTAGCCCTGTCAAAACAAATCCCAACGGTCAAGACACAAAATATTGAAAATAATTGCGAGAACACAGTATATTTCGAGAATAAATAACTTGTATAGTATGAAGCAATACCAAGAGCAATATCTAAAGTAGATATAATTTTTGCCAATAAATTGCCAACGGTTGCCACCACGTCATGTCACGTTGGCTCAAACCTTTAAAATTTTTAAATTTTAAATGAAATTTTAGCGCGAGTATTGATTTGTTGTGATGTTCAGAACAATTACTCGAGAGAGCGGAAGCGGAGACTACCTGACTAGGAATATTTACAAGTTATTTTATTTTAAGTAGAGGCGAGGCGGAAAAGCCTCTATTAGTGTCACAATAATTAAGGTGTGTTAATACAATTAGGCTAGAAGTGATGACAAGATATAAGTATATACAAGTGTTGGCTGCCAAGCGGCAAGAGGATATTTTATGTTAATAGTATTTGCGGCGTAAAGATTAAATCTAGGAGAGTCTACTTCCTAAATGGTTTAAAATGATATGACGAAAAATATTGTTTGTAGAACTGCCAAAAGTTATTAATGTCTTTGTGCCAAAACAGCATAATATGCGCTTAGTGATATCGCGTGGCTATCACTACAAAATATAAGTTTTTAATTTTAGTAGTGCATGAACAGCTGGTGAAAAATGAATATGACGTATCATCTGATTATGTTATGTAGGTTTTTTAACATTCTAATTTTTTTGATCGTAAACAAACAACTCTATATATGGAAGTTGATTCCATATATGGAAGTTGTTTGTCAGCTATTTTTCGCCAACCTCAATTTTGACAGTTATCGAGGGCTGTTGATATAGAGTGTTTATAGGTACATACGAAGCATTTTCAACAATCTTTGGAGATTTTCTTCTCCAGTGATAAAAAATCTCGAGATTTCACAAAAATAGGTACGCGGTGCGTACATGTGGCTAGCCAAAATTTGTTAGTAACGAATTATGGCACACTTAGTCAGGCCTGGCAATATGCATTTTACAGGCACGCGATATTAATTTCTTCCTGCATGATTTAACTAATAAAATGGGTGGGAATAGTTACGAGAAAAGAAGCAGAGGTTTTGAAAAACAGCAATTTAAAATTGCGCTTTATAGTACTTCAGTAATTTGTAGGTAAGCAAAGTTTAGACATGTAATTAATTAATAAGGAATGAGGTACGCTTCGATCACTACTCACCCATGGCAAGTCGGTGTTAATTCGCAGACCATGGGTATAAACCTGTGTGTATGTAAACCAATTAATTTTCAAATGAAGACATTAACACATTTATAAGTTGAAAGTCATATACCGTAAGACTTTTTAATTAATTAAGTAACATAAAATAACATTTTTTTTAGAAAGTTGTTTTGAAAAGTGTCAATTGTCACTTGGAAGCTTTTAACATAAATGTTAAAATAACATAACTTTTAATATAAACCATAAGTTATTTTATAGTGTTCTTCAGAGGATTAATGTTTTTATGGCAGCGTTTACACTGTACCGTTTTCGTAGCGTTCTCGTATTGTTCTTAATCCTCAAGGGAACGCAAGACAATAGTCTAGTTCTCTCGAACAATATGAGAACGCTACGAAAACAGTACAGTGTAAACGCTGCCTATGACTGCGCATATAAATCAGTTCCAATAAAAATAGCTTTTATGATTCTATAGTTCAGGATAGTTCAATGATTTTTTTCTGGATAGTGTCATATACAATGTGGAGTTCATCAATATCTGCTATCAAATGATTGGTAAGCTGTTTTGGTGTCATTTGATCTAGGGAGTCATCTGTGAAACATCTAGCTACGAGCTGCTGCACAATGTTGTTGAAAGCTGTTACATTGAATTTATGGTTGGGATTTTCGTTGCTTTGAAGAAACAGTTTAACTATCCACTGTTTTGAACAACGACTTACTTTTTGAGTAAGGTTGCATGCTGAACAGAATGCAATACTAGGGTTATCTTCGCTTTCAATCTTTCTTCTACACGAGGAGCAGCTGATGTGTTGGCTGGCTGAGGAAAGTCCAAGGAGATTGACAATCAGTTCTTTGTTTGTGAGGGCTTCCTGACTGATATCGGGTTTGGCAAGTGGTCCCTCGAATGCCTCTGTTTCCTCAAGTGTGGAAAGACTCGATGATGTTGTGATATAAATTCCAAAGTTGTCGTTTTATATATAAATTGTTTGAAGTTATAAGTGTTTCCTTTTTGTGCTTCATCAACAAAGGTACCCCAAAATGTTACCTTAATTGTGCCAGTGGCATCTGACACAAGTCCATCTTGTTTGATGAGTTCTTGACCCGACCTGGACAGGATCTTCTTGGAGCCAAATAGGTCTGTTAAATGGCCTTTAATGGTGACTTGCTGACCAGATGAAACATTGCTCAGAGAGCTGATGGTGGTATCTTGACTTAGATCACGCCGTTCAAACGGAAGTGCTGAGGAGGTTTCAACAATGGTGTGCCTTTCTATAACAACATTTGTTGTACCATACCTGGTGTTCTCATTAAATTTCATTATTTTGACAGGTGATTTGGTTTTCTCGTAGTGGTCAAATTTGTCTTTAGGGACCGCTCATTATTTATTGTACAGGGGGGGATTGAGGAGAAACTGGGGGGGGCCTTTAAATTTTTCAAAACCTGAAAGGGGGGGCTTTGAAAAAATACAGAGAGACGAAAGAGGGGGGGGCTTTGAAAATATTTATCAGTTTGAAAAAACAGTAGTTTTAAAAATGTATCACAAAACAACTTAACAACAAATAACAATATTTATAGACTATAATATTCATAAATGGAAGTCAAATAAAAAGTCTCTCGTGTTCATGTAAATAGACAATTCCCATTATAGACTAATTTTAGAACTAGGCAAAGAGATGCAAATCAAGGCCGGATTTTGGTGAAAATAGTGGGGGAGGTGGACAAAAATTTTAGGAGAGGTGCAGCGGTCTAGCTCACAACTCCCATGGAAAGTTAGGGCCTATTGTAGAACAGGCCAATATCAACGAGGTGAGGTATGCATGTAGTGTACATAATATGTACCAGTGTATTAATGAATTATGAATGTATGTCTCCAATCTTGCCCTTCATTACAATTGCTACACTGTTCCTTTCAAAACATTGCATTAAAAGGGTGCTTGACATGGCTATCACTGTTTCAATTTTACAGAGAAAACTTTCTTCCGTCACAAAGTGTAGATCCTAAGCAACCATCACATTTTCACTTTGTTCCATCATTGAAACTTTCCCAAGGGGAAGTGCATGACCTTTCAAGAGAGGTTGAAAAATTCTCAGGGGAGGTGCAAAACGATCTCTGGAGAGGTGCGCACCTCTCCACACCTCCCCTCAAAATCCGGCCTTGATGCAAATAAATCACACAGCTAGAAAGAGCATACTAAAATAAGTAAATTATTGCAAAGTTTGGTTGCAAATTGTTGCAAAATACGGATAATATAGCCTTGCAAAGTTTGCAAATTTTGTACACTTTTGTATTGCATGCGAAAATTGCAATTATACAAAAGAATACAAAATTTGCAAACTTTGGAAGGCTATATTTTCTACATATTTTACAACATTTTGCAACCAAACTTTGGAATTTTACTAATTTTAGTATGCCCTTCCCAGGAATATACTTTTTTTGCTAAGATAAAAAATTAGTCTATAATGGGAATGTCTATTGGTCCCCATTACCTATTTTTCTTTCTCTAAAATAAACAGCTAGAGTTTTTGTTTCTCTAAATAAAGATAAAGAGCTAGAGGGGGGGGGGCAAAACTTATGTTCTTGTTTTGCCTGTTGGGGGGGGGGGCTTTGAAAATTTTACTTGTCTTAAGAGGGGGGCAATGAAAAAATATTATAACTGTAGAGTTTCTCCTCAGTCCCCCCTGTACAATAAATAATGAGCGGTCCCTTAGTAAATTATCCTGTTTAATTTAAGATTGAGAGCGAACTGAAATTATTCAACATTTTGGTTGAATGAACATTTCAAAACATTTTACGAAGTGTTTCAGGTTAAATTTCACATTACACGTATATCAAAGCTCACAAAATGAATAATAACATACGGTTACCCACAGTATATATTTTGGAAATTCATTAAAAGTACTAATCTTTCAACTATTTTTTGCCGTTTTACACAAAAAAATAAAAATTAAAAATTTTTAAATTATCTTGTTGCCATGGGAATACTTGACGCACACCTCAAGCCTGCGTTCATTGCTGACCAACTAATACTTCATGTTAAATCAATGTTTGGAAAATATAGGCGAGGGGTTGCTGCATGCATATATTTCTAGTTCAGTACTGTAATTTATGCTAGACAACTACTTCTCAAGGTATTCATTCTTGGTTTTCTCATCCCAGCTCTCTTTGTCCAATTTTGTGATTTTCCTTTTAAAGGACTGTATATTTCCACTTGAGACTTGAGTTACAACATCTCCACTTCCTTTATGCAGCAGTTCATCAATTTTTGTCATAAGCTCAATTCGTTTACCCAGGGTCTTTATTCCCATCTCTTTTAGGTCACTTTTCTCAATTGACAGCAGTGACTTTCCAGAAATCTTTTCAGCTAATAAAAGATTTATTTCGTTTTATTTTATAAACTTTGCCACAATATAAATTATACAATCTAAATACTATAGTGACTATTAACGTATTCCGAGCTATCCCTGCATGTATCGATTTCAAGGAGCCATAAACCGTTAAAACCATATTATAACAGACAGATGCAAGATAGCTCGAAATGCACTAGATCTAACAATAAAACAATTTACAACTATATAAAACTGTAAATCTTTTTAAACATGCAGTCTACAGTGAAGCTAAATTTCATGTTTAACTAATCAAGGTGGCAGCACTGGATTTTGATCATTTGCTTGGGCTCATCAATCCCCAATGAACAAGTGAGTAATTGTGGGCCAACTTGCTCAATTATTCAATATACTGTACTGTAATATTATAGGAAACATCCACACCTGCCCAACAGAGGAACTGAAAGTTAGCCCCACTCCAATTTGGATGTCCTATATAATTTTTTTATCACATGTCAAGTGATTACCCAGGTCCCCCTCCTGGACAGTTATAAATTGCCACAAAAAAGTGAAGGGTAACAATTAAGAATTCAAACTCTCCCTTTTTGCATCCCTTGACTTTTCTATGTGATTTTTGACCCTGGACAAAAACCTCAACTATATAATAAACTTATCCAACAATTACATGTATACAGTGCACTTTGGCCTTAATATTTTTTTTTGCATATTACCTATTAATTTAATGCTTCCATAGTTGAATTGAGTGTACCTGCAGAAATAATTAACTAATGGTAACCCTGAAAAAACTGAGATTCCTCTTCAAATCCATTTTTTATGAGCCATTGTTGAACCTCTTGCTCTGACCAATGTTTTTGTTTGTAAGAATCAGACAAATTAATATACAGCTACTGTAATTCAATTACGGTTGTCCTCAGAAAACCACAAACTTAGAGCTCTAGGCGGGAAAAGCACGATGGACATGCAAATACTGTAGTATGTAATTCATACTGTTCCCACACTCCGTAGTTACGGTTGTTACGTCCCACAAGTCGTTTTGGTTTTGCGTGAAAAAAGCGATTTATAATTTACAAATTCCTGTGATTTTTGCCTATTTCGGATTCTATTTGCTTGTCTAACCCAATTCCATAGCAAACTCGGCAAAATTCATTGGATTTTTAAACTTTTTAACATTAAAGAAAGTTGTTTGTGGGACATGCTTAACTCCTTTGGGAATTAAATTCACTTGTTTTGCATAAATGTACTAACATGCATGCATAAACAATCTCATTATGATACATACACCCATTGTGCTTTTCGTGCTTAGCTCTAGGTTTGTGGTTTTCAGAGGACAACCTTAACTGAATTAGCTGTATAGGTAAGTTAGTAAAGAAGTACAGTAAGTAAGTGATGCGCTTATTATTCTTACTTGCAGCTGAGAGCTAAGCTGAATTGCAAAGGAAATAGCTCAATGTGATCGAGTGGAATGTTTTCTCAGGGTGCCATTGCAGCCACCTTATCACTCGCTATCACATAGCACAGCTATTACTGAACATGGACACGAGTTAGGGGCTGTTTATATGAGGCGAGCCAGCTCGGGTACCTGAGATAGCTTGCTTTAGGCGAGATCCCGTCTTTGTTAATATTTCCTACTAAATTTCATCTTGCGTTTATATGAGAACTGAGCTGGCCCGCCTAACTGAGGTACTGCTTCGTGTGACCCGAGACCTCGGGTAAACCGTAAACGGGCTGGGTAGTTTTCCATATAAACACATTTACCCGAGCTGGCTCGGCTTTTAAGTAAAATAATGTCTTTTTGCGCATGCCCAAACTTTCCTGCGAAAATTTGTATTTGTTTTCACAAGTTAGCTGCCCCAAAAGTTTCATGTAAAGTGTGATGAAATTCATCTAGGGGAAGTGAGCTAGCTCTGGTACCCGGGCTGGCTCGCTTCCATATAAACAGCCCCTTAATACTTTGAAGTGCACGTCAACTATCATACACAATCCTAACAGACTTTGTCTAAAATTATTTGTAATTGTGTTGAAAGTTTTTATATCTTTAGTCACCTTTAACCTGAAGATGGAGTTATTCTCTGAAACGTAGTTATTAAAATAATTTTTAACTAAGCCTATTTAGTTTTTTTTAAAGGTATCCCTACCAACACTGTCAACATTCCCTGTGGGAGGAAGTTGTCCCAACATGATTTGAACCCACAATATCAGTGGTGAAAGACACATGCTTTGACGATTACAAAAATATCAAGATTAATATGGCAAAATCAAGGAAACTGTACTTAATAGTGAGTTAAATACTATCTCTACACTTAACTGCACTAACAACGTAATTAATAAATATAAAAGTAATATGGGCCAGCTTCATGATAATATACTAACAGACAAAAAGTTTATAATCTATTCATTTGTTTGTGTGGAAATTGATGACTTTATTTTAATTTTGTTTTGAGGTTTGAACATTGAACTATTAAGACTATTATAATCATATTTGTCATGACCCCCATGACCCTCACAACTCACGATTTCAATCAATATTTGCATACTATAAATAATGCAGAAGGTTCACAAATCTTACCTTTTACATCTCCATCATTGCCCTCAACTTTCTCATCTATATTTGCACTCGAACTTGACATAATTCCACCAAAAAGCAGCTAAAATAAAGCTCAATTTCCAATCAGATAAAGTTAACTGAAAATATGTTGAAAAATGGCGCCAATCTGACACGATCTCGTGATCACATGATTCAAAGTAGCCTGGGAACGAGGTATGTCAGTGAGTTTGTTTCCTTGGGTTTTAAGGAATTTTTAAGGAATTTTTAAGGAATATAAAAGATCCCATCTGAGGTCTAATGTTATATGTACTATTTAAAGCACGCGTAGGAGTGTTTTATCACATATAAAACACGACGCGTAGCGGAGTGTTTTATCACATATAAAACACGACACGTAGCGGAGTGTTTTATATGTGATAAAACACGACTACAAGTGCTTTAAATAGCTTAAAAAACGACTCATCTTATACGAGTTCATTGGCGAAGAAATTTTTAAAATAAACTTTGTCTAAACCAAGAAAATCAAAGCTAAAGTTTATGTAAATTAACGTGATTTTTTATCACATATAAAACCACGACACGCTTATGATTTTTCTTTGTGTTTTGCTCCTGAATTATTAATGAGTTTTTTAAAGAGGTGAGATGACGGACATAATTCGGGTTGACTGATTTTATATGTATAACCGTTTCTACAGAAATATAAATACATTTCCAAAGATCTAGAGTATCAGCAAATGTACTATGTAGTCATATGGAATTTGAGGGAAAAGTAGGAATTTCAGATCTCTTTGCAAGGAATGCCCAAACTTGGTTTTGAGTGTAAATTTTATTAATTATAATAATTATAATTTATATAAATTAGATCATGGACGAAAAAAGAAGTATTTGTAGATGTTCCGATACACCAGAAGCAGCCGAGTTTTCTTCAATAAACCAAACTCACATTCACTGCCCCTGTCCAAAATGTGAGAACCGTGCAGTGTTCCCTATGGTCGCCTGGCGTCATCTAAGAAAAAGGCGTCTAGGTTCGGATGACGGAGAAGGTACTTCGCACGACGATCAAGAACCAGGAGAATTATCTACCAACTCGATGAACTCACAATTTGCTAGCTCTTCGTTCTCTTATAGTCACTCTGAAAATCGATCTTC